AGCACTATTAATGAAAATCAATAGGGTTTTTATTCGATCAAACTATTCATGGACGTTGGAATGAAAATAGAAATAGTTCAGTTCGTACAGTCAGTATCAGCTGGAAGCAATCCCGACATGCGAAGTAACGATTCGTGTGTGTTAATATAATATTCAAATTCCGAATGCCGGTAGGAGGGAGTTTACATTGAAGCGGAAGTTGAGATGTAACTCTATCGTACACTTTGTTTATATATATATATATATATATATATATATATATATATATATATATATATATATAAAACCGATATTCAAGGCATGTAGGCCATTTCTACTTTGAAGATTCACACAAAGACTTCTTCCTACTTCTCATCTCGTACCATCCTGTTCTCTGCCAAAATTAGCCGAAGGTTACTCACTCCAAAAAACAAATATTGATATTTATTAAGATTAGCTAAGTTACGGACTTTTAATTTTTTTTTTCTTTGCTAGGCAGTTAATAATTATTAAGTTTGGTTTTAGTTCTGAAAAATTGACGATGACAATCAACAAGTTTAATTTGAGTGGATTTTTTAAATGGTAAAAGACCACTAGGTTTTGTGCACTTTCGCTAATTTTGAGAAATAAGATTCGTTGGGTTGAGATTTAAGCATATACTGTAGTTGGATAAAAAATAAAAATAAAAAATTACACCGGTATATCATAAATAATACATTTGTCTCTAAATATATTATTTTCTTTTTAGGATTAAAACATTTCGATGAAGAGAAATTTAGTGTTAAAGTTACTTTGTAAATGTTCCTTTTTTTGTGTATATCGAAGAAAACGTGTTGTATGAATTCGACTTGTGGGATTCATATAAATAAAGATTTTGAGAGGATTAACAAAAAGAAAGTAACAGAAAGACAAGGAATATACGAATTATTTCAGGTATTAAGTCGGATTGCGTTGATGTTGGATAGTATCAGAGTTTTTTTTTTCTTGTCATTGTGTGCTGGAAAGCGTTTCTGTGCTTGAAAGCAACTCTGAGTACTGCCTTCCGTACTGCTCTAAATCACTTTGGGTATGGCTATGGCGTCAGGTGTACTTAAAAAAAATAACTTCTATAAAATGGTTCGGATAGATGTGTTCCATTAAGTAATGCTTTTCATTAGTTATAAAAAATTACTTTTGTTTTGATTAACTTTGAGACAATTTAGAATATTATGTCTCTCACCATAAATGATTTCTCTGACGGGTCTTTTTTGGTTGTTAATTTATAGCGTTACAAGCATTCAGAGTATAAATTTTAGTTAGGATTTTTTTGAGTTCCAAGAGTCGGGCATTTAGCTAGAATCGAATTCATTATAAAGTAATAGACTTGATGATTACAATGCTAATCAATAATTCACTGAGAGTTACGTTAAATTTCGTTGAATGTCTTGACATTATCTTAAAAGGTTATTGTTATATAAAAGACCCTATCTTAAAGTGAACACCATAGGTGGCTTCCTCTGTAGACATAAACATATTAAAATAACATGTTATCATAGAATTAATTTTTTCTTGCTCTCTAAGTTTAGTTCGTTCATATTTTTCATGTACTTTCACATTCAGCACTACATGTTACGAGTGTGAAATTAGTTTTCATGTACTACTACAATCGTCTTTCATATTTTTCCTTGCGATGTTTACTTAAAGATGACTGTTTGCTGGATTTAATGTCTTCTGTCACTGGTAATATACTTCGTTTTTTATTTTCTCTCTCTCTCAATTGATATTTACAGTTTATTCAAATAAGTTTTTAGTTAATCCACTTTTTCTGCTTATTACCATTTTAATTTTTTCAAAGAAAATTTATAATTTAATACCAGTTTTTCTTATCTTGCCAATATTTTCAATTTATTTTAGATTCTTTCATGATCGACATTGTAATTTTCGGATTTTCCTATCGACATTTTTTTCTACCACGCAATAATATTCAATAATTTCTTCCAGGTGATGTCCATCTTAGAACCTAAACTAATATATAGTCGTCCACAAAGAGACTGTTTTGCTGTATTACAGCTCATCAATGTGGCTAGACATCCGATTATCTCAAGCTAGGATCGAAACTGATTTGGCATTGGTCGGAGATTTTTCCCCTAAGCTATCGATTCTTGACAGAGAGGAAGGGGACATTTTATGTATTTATGTTGAATAAACACGTCAGCGATTCAGAGTGCTCGATTCATAGACGAGCTTTGCATTATCAGCAGTAGCAGTTACTGTTAACAAATTCGCGCTTTCTCTCTAAAGTGCTCGACCGAAATTTATTTTTTCATATTGTCATACACACACAGACTGTTTCGCTGTATCATACCTCACTAATGTGTATACGTACATACACACACACACACACACATATATATATATATATATATATATATATATATATATAAAATATAGGTGTGTGTGTCGGGGATTGCTTTTCTTTTCTGGACACAGTGTGTAAACATAAAAAATGAAAGATATGTAAATGTTCTGTTTATAATAAACA